CATATCTTCCATACCCGGAGGTGGCTTCATGTAAACCTCATCTTCAAGCTCTCCTTGAAGAAAAGCATTCTTGACATCCATCTGCCATAAATCCCATTCCAAGTTCACAGCTAGAGAGAGTAGAATCCTTATAGTATGCAGCTTAGCCACTGGCGCAAAGGTATCAAGGTAGTCTTCTCCGTAGACCTGAGTGTACCCTATTGCAACCAGTCTTGTCTTCTTCCTTTCTGGTTTTCCATTAGCAAGATATTTGATGGTGAAGAGAAGCATGCTGGTCACAGCTTTCTTGCCTTTAGGTAGTTCGGTTTCATACCAAGTACCATTTCGGATCATGGCACCAACCTCATCTCCAACGGACTCTCTCCACTCTTCATGTTCCATGGCTTCTTCATAAGTCTTTGGGACATACTCTTGATCCAGATTGCTGATGAAGGCTACATGCTCTTGAGGAAAACTCGCAAAAGAACAAGTTGCTTGGACTGGATGAGCCACTGCATTGTTGTTGAAGTACACTTTGGTATCAACCCACTGAGATGGTTTCTTCACTCTTGTACTCCTTCTCAATGGTTGCATTTGTTGCCCTTCTAACTCTACCTCTTCCTGCCCTTGGACTTCATTAACCTGGTCTTCAATAGACTGGTCAATTTCAGGTTCATCTTGATCATGCGTGCTTGTTGAATCATCTATTTCTTGTGGCTGTAATTCAGGTTCATTGTCCCCTTCAAGATCAAGATGACCAGTTTCAACAACTGGTGTTGCTTCTTCATTGTGTTCAGCAGATGCCGGTGAGGAGTAATCCCTTGGCACTTCACTACTTTGAGGCTGACTGATGCCAAGATTCTCCAGAATAGTCCTCAAGTTATTTGCCCTATCTGAGGGTCCTTGTGAGAGATCTTGGAGACTTTCCCAACTCTTGTCCTCATAGTACCCCTCAGATTCCACAAACTTAACATCCCTTGAGACCATAACTCTTCTTGCATCAGGAATGTAGCACTTATAACCTTTCTGCGTGTGGGAGTATCCAATAAATATGCCCTTGACACTCTTGGCTTCTAACTTGTTTCTCATTTCTCCTGGTGTCAAGACATAACAAACACACCCAAACACACGTAGAT